TCCTTGACGTGATGGTATTGGCTTTCATACAGGTGTTGCATGGTTGGCTTATGTTGTCAAATGTTTGGTAAAGTCCTACAATGAGCGAAACTCTTGTTTTGTGATGCTGAGACATGGGCGCAAGGAGAAAGTCTTTGCTCATTATACAACAAAGACTAAAATAGTTCTAATCAATTAACAAATATCAAAAAAATAATCTTTTAATAACATAGTTTTCCAATATAAGTTATTAACATTTCTTCAATCCATTAGTTTACTGTGGAATTTTGCCAACAATTTCTTCGAGTCTTCAAGAGTTCCCCAGCCAAAAACGTGATGTACACAAAAGAGAGAAGAAAAAGCAATCAGAATTGGAATCGGAAGAGAAACCAAAAAGTTAAAAATATCAAAAGTTTGCACAGATACTATATCTAAATGATTTGAGATTCCCTGAAAACTTTCCTGGAAAATCATGAAAAGGGAGCTGAAGAACAGGTTTATGCATGAAGATCTGATTAACTGATTGCTGCTGTGCAACAAATGCAGGTAGTGAAAATGGAATATTTAGGCCTGCGCTTCGCATTTCCCTTTGGAGAATTGGATACTAATTCTTTTTGTTCCAGTGCCAGCAAATCCTTATCTCCCTTCTTATCCACACCATTGGTTTCTTGTTTTTCTTCTGTATACATCGCAATAGCCTTTTCCTCTTTCTTGATCGCGTTCGGAAATGGAGCTCTTGAATTTTCCGAATTGCTTCTTTCCATTAATCTAATGGTTTTTTCTTCCACTCCAACTTCCTGATCATACTGTAATGAGGTTCTAATTAGAGTTGCACAGCTCGAAAAACTTCGAGTTGCAGTCTTGTCCTGATATAGCAATGGGGTTTGATCAAATTCTGCGGACCTAGCATCGAATGAAACACCAAGGTCAGAACTTGAAGACTTTCTGAGCTCCAATGAAACACCTACGCCTCCTGGTGATGGAATGGAATTAGTCTGAGCACTTTGTGCAACATTAGTTTCTGTATTATCCAGTGAATGCTTTGTTGATGTTTCATTGATTTCATAGCTGACATTGGCAATAGAGCATTCTTGAAAAAATTGTTCACAACCGTTACATTCTTGCACATCTGCTATGCCTTCCCTGTTATCAGTTTCGTGGCCATTTTCTGTCGTAGATGCATCTTCTTCACCTGGGACTTCCTTAGCGAGTATACCTTCATTTGTAGCCTCTTCATCTCCATTTTCCTTACTGGTGTCTATGCATTCTCTGGTTGGACCTGATTCAGTTCCTGCCAACATTTGAATAACTTCATTTGTGTCCAAGTATGCACTTGGAATGGATTCTGTCCAGCCAATTTGATTTCGATTATCTGTCTCCCCAACAGGATCAACTTCCCGTGGACTAGAACTGGAATTAATCCCAACTGCATCTTCATCCTCATCTTCTTTACTCTCGGATTCAATCGTTGACTGAGATTGATCTGCACTGAGACTCACCAACTGATTGATTTCTTTATCCGAGGGATGAGTTTGATTGCCATAACTCATATTCTCTCCATTGCCTAATTCACTCACCGTCAGTATCATCTCTTCAGGAAAAACCAGATAGTCATTTGGCGGTTCAGAAATTGCTGCAGAATTTTCACTCTGAGTACTTGTGTCCAGTATTGCATCCTCAGGCGAAGCAATTTCATTCACCTCCAAGTCATTTTTCTCTACATTAAAATTTTGTACTAAATTTGTGTCAATCAAATGACATTTCTCCTTAACATGGCATGACGTGCTCACTTCACTAGTTTCCTTATTCTCTTTCAATAATAAATCTTCGTTTTCTTCTTGTGATTCATCAGGAATATCAACATGCTCCTGTGGCTCAGAATCTAAATTAGATTTTGAGTCCAAACTTGAGTCTCCTCCCTCTACCTCGCCTGTCGGAGTTTTGAAAGAATCAGTTAGTTTATGCCTATGATCTGTATCAGCACAACTTGTATAAAACAGGTGCTATGCAGTTTTCTTGATCATGATGTATAAGCAAGAATTGTAATTAGATTAACCTTTTAAAGGGGATAATTGGTCATGAAAATTCGATGAAGCATCAGTCTGTGCTTCATCATCCTCACTAGCAGCGCTATTTGCTTCCTCTGGAAATCCTGGTGGAGGGATATGTTCTCCACCATTGTTTTCAATACCTGAAAGCCAAAAGTATTAAATGGAGATCGAGTTAACTAATGAGTATGAATCGAGTTGATATAGTATGTGTTTCAGAGATGATGCCACTTATAGACTAGCCAAGTCTTTTTTTTTTAATTATAGAGTACCGTTGGGCCAACAAATCTCACATTTCATTTGCAGTACCGAATCACTTAAACTGAAGTTTGATGGAAGGAATACATGAACTTATCATATAATGCTAACTAGACTGGTATTTCTAGTACTAAATAGCATTACTCTTTTTTCATAGGGTCAAAGAGGAAAAAGAATGGAAGTACGAAATGTACAAGAAGCAAGTTTGCACATTATTGAACTGCCCCGTGAATAAAAATGAGAAAAATGGCGGTTAAAATGGGATGATTGGATAAAAAAAAGAACCCACGAAACCGATTTGCACTAGCACTCAGAAATCAAGAGGTTGATGAGTAGACCTGATTATAAATTAAATTAAACCATCATATTAAGAAGGAAAATGCTTCTTGTATATAATTATTTACATAATATTTACATAATGATGAGATGTCAAAATATAAGTGAAAAAGTTATTTGATTGATGAGATTATGATCCAATTAAATCTCACCACATCATTTGTTAGTAAAACATTATGTAAATTGTTATGTACATGTAGCACAACTCTATTAAGAAAATGGATTCCAGCAAATAACATCTGGAACATACTGATTTTGATAAGTTCGTGCTTCCACGACACATGGACATGTCCAATCTTGTTGGCAAGTAGCAACCACCTCCACATCATGTATCCAAGAGTTGTACGACATGTGTATACACAAGTCTTCCTAGTCAACCAACAGGTATCATCCAAGTCCCTTCCACCTGAGTGACATGTGGCAAGGAGCATGTCTACAAGGTAAACACGTGTTTGAGGAATAGGTTGAACCGTGGGCTGACACGAAAGATAGGTGGTGGTGAGTAGCATGACACATGTTCGTTGAATAAGACTTAACGGGTGCTGACTGGACATCAGGTGGCACTGGATAGGAAGAACCCTGCTGTTGACTAGGATGACATGTACTAGTGATTTGGAGGACAAGTGGCATGACTAGGAAGATGGTGGCATTGCTTTGGATGAAACATGTTGCTGACTAGAACGACAAAAGGTAGTGTCTCTGACATGGATGAAACTTGCTACTAACTAGCCCAATCAGTGGCGGATCAAGTAATTCGAGTGAGGTAGGGTGAATTCAGCGAGCAACCGTCCAATATATGGAAAAAAATAATTTTTCGATGGATCTAGCACGGGCGACCGCTATGGATCGCTGGGGGTTGGCTCTGTCCTTGCCAACATATGTTAGTGACTAGGTCTAAGGTATTTGTTGTGATGGCACACTACAAGTAGGAGCTATGAGGATACGTGTGAGCACGCGGGCACGTGGAGAAATATTTATTTGTTTATTTATTATTTTTATTATTTTGTACAGAGTTGAGTTGGCGCGTGCGGCACCTTTGATAGTAATTTTTTTTTGGGAAGATTACATATTTAAG